AGAAAATTGACTCAGGATACTAACAAATCAGGATACGAACAAGGTCATGGAACGGATTAAATTCGCAAGCCGAGGTTCCACTGTATAAGCAACTATTGGCAGAAAAGTGGGCTAGTGCAAGTATGGGTAATTGGGGGGGGGGGGGAATTGAAGAGGGATGGGATAGTTTTAAAAATGCAGTATTAGAATGTGGGGCAGAAGTTCGTGGCTATAGGAACGTGCGTGCAGGAGAAAAGAGGAGTAACTGGTGGAATGATGAAGTAAAGGGTGTGATGAATGAGAAAAAGATAGTTTATGAGAGGTTTTTACAAAGCAGATGTGATAAAAGAAGGGCAGACTATATGGAGAGTAAATGAAAGGTGAAGAGAGTGGTGAGAGTGCTAAAAGAGAGCAAATGATAGAGTGGAAGAGGGACTGCCAAGAAATTCTGCTGAGAATAGAAAAAAAATTTTGGAGTAAGATAAACAAGTTAAGAAAGCCTAGGGAACGAATGGATTTGTCAGTTAAAAACAGGATAGGGGAGTTATTAGATGGGGAGTTGGAGGTATTGGGTAGATGCCGGGAATATTTTGAGGAACTTTTAAATGTCGATGAAGAATGGGAGGCGGTAATTTCATGTACTAGCCAGGGGGGAATAACACCTTTTAGAAATGAAGAAGAGTAGGATGTAAGTGTGGGGGAGGTGCATGAGGCATTGCATAGAATGAAAGGGGGTAAAGCAGCTGGAACTGATAGGACCAAGACAGAATGTTAAATGCAGGGGATGATATAGTGTTGGAGTGGTTGGCATTTTTTAATAAATGTATGAAAGAGGGTAAGGTGCCTAGGGATTGGCAGAGAGTGTGTATAGTTCCTTTATATAAAGGGAAGGGAGACAAAAGATATTGTAAAAATTATAGGGGAATAAGTTTACTGATGTAGGTAGTAGGTTGGTAGACAGCAACCGCCCAGGGAGGTACTACAGTCCTGCCAAGTGAGTGTAAAACGGAAACCTGTAATTGTTTTACATGATGGTAGGATTGCTGGTGTCTTTTTTTCTGTCTCATAAACATGCAAGATTTCAGGTACATTTTGCTACTTCTACTTACACTTAGGTCACACTACACATACATGTACAAGCATATATATACACACCCCTCTGGGTTTTCTTCTATTTTCATTCTAGTTCTTCTTCTTGTTTATTTCCTCTTATCCCCATGGGGAAGTGGAACATAATTCTTCCTCCGTAAGCCATGGGTGTCATAAGAGGCGACTAAAATGCCAGGAGCAAGGGGCTGGTAACCCCTTCTCCTGTATACATTACTAAAGTTAAAAAGAGAAACTTTCCTTTTTCTTTTTAGGCCACCCTGCATCGGTGGGATACGGCCAGTGTGTTGAAAGAAAGAAGTTTACTGAGTATACCAGGTAAAGTGTATGATAGGGTTATTATTAAAAGAATTAGAGGTAAAACAGAGCAGAATTGCAGATGAGCAAGGAGGCTTTAGAGTGGGTAGAGGATGTGTAGATCAAGTGTTTACACTGAAGCATATATGTGAACAGTATTTGATAAAGGTAGGGAAGTTTTCATTGCATTTATGGATTTAGAAAAGGCATATGATAGAGTGGATAGGGGAGCAATGTAACAGATTTTGCAAGTATATGGAATAGGTAGTACATTATTAAATGCTGTAAAGAGTTCTTATGAGGATAGTGAGGCTCAGGTTAGGGTGTGTAGGAGAGAGGGAGATTACTTCCCGGTAAAAGTAGGTCTTAGACAAGGATGTGTAATGTCACCTTGGTTAATATATTTATAGATGGGGTTGTAAAAGAAGTAAATGCTAGGGTGTTGGGGAGTGGGGTGGGATTAAATTATGGGGAATCAAATACAAAATGGGAGTTGACACAGTCAATTTTTGCTGATGATACTGTACTTTTGGGAGATTCTAAAGAAAAGTTACAAAGGTTAGTGGACTTGTTTGGGAAGGTGTGTGAAGGTAGAAAGTTGAAAGTTAACATAGATAAGAGTAAGGTGATAAGAGTATCAAATGATATAAATAAATAAAAACTGGATATCACATTGGAGAGAGGGAGTATGGAAGTAGTGATTTTTTTTTTTTTCAACAAGTCGGCCGTCTCCCACCGAGGCAGGGTGACCCAAAAAAAAAAGAAAATCCCCAAGAAGAAAATACTTTCATCATCATTCAACACTTTCACCACACTCACACATTATCACTGTTTTTGCAGAGGTACTCAGAATACAACAGGTTAGAAACATACATATATAAAGATACACAACATATCCGTTCAAACTGCCAATATCCCAAACCCCTCCTTTAAAGTGCAGGCATTGTACTTCCCATTTCCAGGACTCAAGTCCGACTATATGAAAATAACCGGTTTCCCTGAATCCCTTCACTAAATATTACCCTGCTCACACTCCAACAGATCGTCAGGTCCCAAGTACCATTCGTCTCCATTCACTCCTATCTAACAAGCTCACGCACGCTTGCTGGAAGTCCAAGCCCCTTGCCCACAAAACCTCCTTTACCCCCTCTCTCCAACCCTGTCGAGGACGACCCCTACCCCGCCTTCCTCCCCCTATAGATTTATATGCTTTCCATGTCATTCTACTTTGATCCATTCTCTCTAAATGACCAAACCACCTCAACAACCCCTCTTCTGCCCTCTGACTAATACTTTTATTAACTCCACACCTTTTCCTAATTTCCACACTCCGAATTTTCTGCATAATATTTACACCACACATTGCCCTTAACCCTTTGACTGTTTCAGGCCCCTATCTGAAACTGTCATTCTATGTCGCTCAATTTTTGAAAAAAAAAAAAAATTATTTTTTCTTATGAAATGATAGAGAATCTTTTCCCGATGGTAATGACACCAAAAGTTCGAAATTTGGTCGAAAACTCGTGGAATTATGCTCCCGCGAAGTTAGCGGTCTCGGCGACATATGCGTATCGGCGATTTCGCCGACTTTGAGCCCAATTTTCAGCCAATTCCATTGTTCCAGTTGACCAAACTCATAGCTATTTCTTTAGAACTCCATTTTATCTATCAGCTGAGTACAAGAAACCTCCCATTTACTAATTTGGACTACCCAATATGGTGGTCAGAAATTGGCAATTTGGCCAATTTCACGCAAAATAAAAAAGATGCCAATTTCAAAATAGGGTCCAGAATAAACAAGGTAGACATTCGTGGCACTAAAATAACATATGCTCTGTTCATTAGTCACATCTCTAGGCCCCTCTTATATTATTATTGCTTTCTATTTTGATTTTTTATTCATACAAAAAAATACAAAATTTACTGTTATGCAGACGACTGCATTATTGTAAAAATGGTATAAATAATATCAGTGCACTAGTGAAAGAATATTAGACTCCCCAGTTGACGTGTATTGGATGTGTGGTGTGATTTATGTACTCTTGAACATTGGTAAAAATCGAACATTTCCGCTACTTTGAGCTCAGTTTCAAGGTCGTTTTCATCGTAAAAGTAATGAAAATCATCTCTATTTCTGTAATATGTTTTCCATTTTATCACCTAAGACCATGAAAATGCGAATACAACGATAAATACTATACGAAAATACACCTCAAAGTCGGCGTTTTATTCCAAAAAAACGATCAGAGTTTTTTTTTCTCATTACGCAATGTGTGCTGCAGGATTTTTTTTATGTGGTGCACACTGACCACACAGACCCATTCTCTCACATGTGGGCCTAGCAGCTTTCTCCCACTTGATTTGAAGCCGCTAGAATTAATGAGTATATATACGTCAGAAACATTGGCTCGTAAGACGTATTTATACGTCGAAAACAGTCAAAGGGTTAAACAGGACATCTCCACTGCCTCCAACCGTCTCCTCGCTGCTGCATTTACCACCCAAGCTTCACGCCCATATAAGAGTGTTGGTACTACTATACTTTCATACATTCCCTTCTTTGCCTCCATAGATAACGTTTTTTGACTCCACATATACCTCAGCACACCACTCACCTTTTTTCCCTCATCAATTCTATGATTAACCTCATCCTTCATAAATCCATCCGCAGACACGTCAACTCCCAAGTATCTGAAAACATTCACTTCTTCCATACTCCTCCTCCCCAATTTGATATCCAATTTTTCTTTATCTAAATCATTTGATACCCTCATCACCTTACTCTTTTCTATGTTCACTTTCAACTTTCTACCTTTACACACATTCCCAAACTCATCCACTAACCTTTGCAATTTTTCTTTAGAATCTCCCATAAGAACAGTATCATCAGCAAAAAGTAACTGTGTCAATTCCCATTTTGAATTTGATTCCCCAAAATTTAATCCCACCCCTCTCCCGAACACCCTAGCATTTACTTCCTTTACAACCCCATCTATAAATATATTAAACAACCATGGTGACATTACACATCCCTGTCTAAGACCTACTTTTACCGGGAAGTAATCTCCCTCTCTTCTACACACCCTAACCTGAGCCTCACTATCCTCATAAAAACTCTTTACAGCATTTAATAACTTACCACCTTATTCAGATATTTGGGAGCTGACTTGTCAGCGGGTGGGTTTCTGAAGGATGAGGTTAACCACAGAACTGATGAAGGAAAAAAGATGAGTGGTGCGTTGAGGTATCTGTGGAAACAAAAACGTTATCTATGGAGGCAAAGAAGGGAATGTACAAAAGTATAGTGGTACCAACACTCCTGTATGGGTGTGAAGCTTGGGTTGTAAATGCTGCAGCGAGGAGGTGGCTGGAGTCAGTGGAGATGTCCTGTCTATGGGCAATATGTGGTGTAAATATTTTATTTTTATTATTATCAGGCAGAAATTAGGTAGTGAAGAAACAATTACTCATCACGGTCTGGGAAAGGGTGCTACATAAGTATTACTCAGAGAGTAGTGAGGAAATTAGGAGGATGGTTTGGTTCAAAATTTAGTAGAGAATGAAAGATTTAGTGTGGTCAATTGGGAAGGAACAAGTGAAACTGGAGAAATATCTGTAGGGGATGGAAGGTGGGGTAGGGGTCATCCTCAAAAAGGTTGGAGGGAGGGGATAAAGGAGGTTTTGTGGGCGAGGGGCTCGGATTTCCAGCAAGCGTGTGCGAGCGTGTTAGAAGCGAATGGAGACGAATGGTTTTTGGGACCTGACGAGCTGTTGGAGTGTGAGCAGGGTAATATTTTGTGAAGGGATTCAGGGAAACCAGTTAGCTGGACCTGAGTCCTGGAAACGGGAAGTACAATGCCTGCACTTTAAAGGAGGGGTTTGGGATATCACCAGTTTGGATTGACTATCTAAAATGTCGTATCTGGGTGCCTCTGCAAACACAGTGATTATGTATGAGTGATGGTGAAAGTGTTGACTGATAATGAAAGTTTTTTCTTTCATTCAGGGTTCTTTCTTTCTTTTGGGTCACCCTGCCTTGGTGGGAAACTGCAGACATATTAAAAAAAAAAGAAATCTAATTGATGAGTATTCCTAAACAATTTTTTAGTGTAGAACAGAATGCAGACATACTATTCTGCAATACTGTAATACCAAACATATGTCAGCACAAAACAAATTGTCTAGATAAGTAGTAAATATTTTGCTTAAGTTTTATGGCCGAATATTTTCATTCATCCTAGGTAGTAGGTTGGTAAACAGCAACCGCCCAGGGAGGTACTACCGTCCTGCCAAGTGAGTATAAAACAAAAGCCTGTAATTGTTTTACATGATGGTAGGATTGCTGGTATCTTTTGCTTGTCTCATAAACATGCAAGATTTCAGGTATGTCTTGCTACTTCTACTTACACTTAGGTCACACTACACATACATGTACAAGCATATATATACACACCCCTCTGGGTTTTCTTCTATTTTCTTTCTAGTTCTTGTTTATTTCCTCTTACCTCCATGGGCAAGTGGAACAGAATTCTTCCTCCATAAGCCATGTGTATTGTAAGAGGCGACTAAAATGTCGGGAGCAAGGGGCTAGTAACCCCTTCTCCTGTATAAATTAATAAATTTAAAAAGAGAAACTTTCATTTTTCTTTTTAGGCCACCCTGCCTTGGTGGGATACAGCCGGTTTGTTGAAAGAAGAAGATTTTCATTCACGTGTGTTCAGCTTTCTTTCAAAGGAGGTAAAAATTCTGTTAAAGGTTGTCCCATAATATTAGAATTTTCTGGTCCCACCACTGATTGTACAATGTCATTTTCCTTTACAGAGGTGCCTAAGTTAGTGTGAGGAAAGAAGATGCACTTCCCATCACAGAAAATGTTTCACTGTAAAAGCAAGAAAGAAAGAAAAAAAAGAGGTTAGGAAACTCTCTCAAACAAGAGTTGAGGTCAGGAAAGGCTCTCTTCTCAGGCTGTGAGACTGCCTGAAAAGTGGGAAGGTTGCCAAAGCCTGGTGAGCCATGAAAACAGGCAGAGACCAGCTCCTCAACTAGAAGTAGAATCCTCAGTCATGAGAAAATGGAAAAGATAAGGGAAAGGTTGTGGATACCATCAAATGATACCAACTTAAAGCCAATAAGAATTTGCATGGCACAGAATATGGCATGGAAATGAGGATAATTTTATACTGAATACTTGTATGAAGGCTTTTAAGGGCATGAGTGGGCCCAACCCAACGGAAGGAAGTCATAATGGGTATCAAGCTGTGTCTGCCAGGGAAAGCAAATTTTCATCCATAAAAGAATAGTATACTGAAAAGCAGTAGGGACTGCCACAAATCTTGAAAGTTACTGGAGAGTTCCAATTACTCCTGAGAAATAAAGTATTCATACTTGTGCAGTACCTATACACACTGAACAGTGAAGGCAGGAAAAGCGCAGGGTTGTTGACATGATAAGAGGATGAAAATGGGATTCCGGTACACTCTGGGAGCCTCAGGTGATGCCTTTTATAACAAGCAAATAATGCAAGGTAACTGGAGGTAAAGATCACTGAAAAATGATATGGTGATAAAGACAAGATGTGGAAAAAAACACTTATATACAGTTCAGGACATTTATTAGAGGAAACATTTTGCCATGAGAGGCTTCTTCAGGGCTGAAGAAGCCACTAACTGTACATAGGTGTCTTTTTCCAAGTAAATATTATTGTTGAGAGAAAACATATGTACAGACTTTGCTGTAATCTAGGGAAGTGAGGAATAGTGTGAATGAGGTGTAGCACTCGTCAGGTGGACCACACAGGCTCTCATAGCAGAAAGGGAAATTGAAAGACATGCTTAAAAAAATAACTTGCTTTCAATCAAACACTAAGAATAATATGCACCAACATTTAAGAATTATTTAATAAAAAAAATATGACAAACTGTTTTAATTTATCCAGAATTCATAGAATTACTACAAGTGTATCCCGCATACAGTTAGTGGATATATAAACTACACTATCACAGGACTAGCTACAAATGTATCCCACACTGTTAGTGTATATCTAAACCACAATGTCAGTTCTCTTAATGTTGTCCATGCCTGGGCTGATATAGCCAGGTTATCTGGAAACATGTAACACAAACTAGCTCTGGTATACACACATACAAATATTCAACAGGGCATTCATTGGAGAGAGAGAAAAAAAAAGAAATCGTTGTCTTGCATGACCAATTACTGGCAACACAATTCATTTTTAATACTGTTAATCACATTACTTCCAGTCAACTGCTGCACTCTAATTATTTGCCTTTACTGCTTCATCGAAGAATTCCCTAAAAATAAAAAAATATATTAGGAGAAATACATATTTATCATGCAACATTATAATGGATTACTGTTTTCCTGAACTCTTTTATCAAGAACTCAATATACTAATGGATGAAGTCTACCAGTCGTACCGTATCTTTAACAGAAAGTTTCAGTTAGGTGAAATAAAGATAATGGGAGTAAGGTAGACAAAGAGCAGCAAAACTAGAGATTTTTCTGGCTCAGACAACTTGCGAAGTAGTGGGTCGTCTGAGCCTATGCCCAAGTCTATTTACAAGCTCATCAAAAGGTCATAAACAAAATAAATTATGTTCCAAGGTGTTGCACATGTAGTCCAAGGAAAAGTTATCAGTATTTTATACCATACATGTAAATCCCATAATTATGTAGAACATAAATAACAAAAAAAGGCACAATATCGTGAATGGAAGATACACAAATAACCAGCACATAGAAGAGAGGAGCTTACGACGATGTTTCGGTCTGACTTGGACCATTTACAAAGTCACACTAAAGAGAAGTAGAGCAGGACAGGTATATATGGGGGGGGGACGGCGGGCGGCGGTGGTTGTTGTTGTTGTTGTTCTTGTTGAAGAAGAGGAGGAGGCAGCAGCGGAGATGGAAGGAAGTAGTAATGGGGAAGTAAGGAGGAGGAGCCAGTCAAATACAAAGAAAGGGGAGCACTGCAAGAGAGCTGGGTGCCCACAGAGGGAGAGCAAGAACACAGAGGTGGGGGGGGAGGGGAAATAATGAAATAAATAATGAAGGAACAGAAACACAAGACAGAAGAAAGACAACCCAGAAGAGAAAAAAGGAAAGAGGAAAGGAGAAGAAGGAGAAGAAGAAAAAAAAGAGGAATCAGGTTAAGTCACGGGTGTTCTGAAGTTTGGAGTATTTTACAATGTAGTGGGAGAGGAAGGCATCTACAGAGACGAAGCCATGACTAAGATTCATACAAGGAAAGTTGTGTATTAGAGAGGATTCAACAAGATGGCGACTGTTAAAGTTGGAAGTAGGGAAGACAGTTTTAGCAGAAGACCAGTCTATAGGATGGCTGTGATCTCTGACGTGACAGAAAAGAGCATTGTTAGTGTCAGCAAGCCTAACACTATTTTTGTGCTCCCTAAGTCTGTCAGAAAGAGATCGGTCAGTTTCTCCAAAGTATTGAAGAGGACAGGAGGAGCAAGAAATAGAGTAGACACCAGAAACATCTGTAGAGGGAGGAGAGGTATGAACGAGATTAGTGCGAAGAGTGTTAGTCTGGCGGAAAGTAAGCTTGATGTCTAGGGAACGGAGAGAATTGTCGAGATTAGAAAGACTGGAAATGTAGGGGAGGCAGAGGACAGAAGAGTTCCCAGGAGTAGAGAGTTTGGGAGAGAAGAAATTACATTTAGCACGTGAGAGGGCTGATGTCTTGCTCTCTGACTCACGTACCTACACCCCTCTCGTTTCCAACCCTCTTGATCGCATCAAGAGAAATTTCATCAATAAACTAAGGACTCTCTCTGACCTCTGTCCTCCTAACTTTGACCTTGTTCAATGTTTTCATATCATCTGTCCCTCTCTTCCCTATTTCTATGGCCTTCCCAAAATTCATAAGCCTGATATTCCTCTACGTCCTATCATATCCTCTAGAGGTTCTGTCTCTTATTCTCTTGCTTCTTGGCTGGCCAAAACCCTCACTCCCTTTCTTGGTACCTTTTCTCCTGCCCACCTCCGTCACTCTCAAGACTTCATTGAAAGGGTTCGCTCTCTCCCGACCTGTAAGATGCTTAGTCTTGACGTTGAGTCCCTCTTCACCAATGTCCCTCTTGATGTCCCTGATTTTCTTAGAGAGAAGGCCCATGAAATGTTTCTTCATCTCCCTATACATACTGATGTCTTTCTTGATCATATCCGCCTCTGTGTGGACTCTAATTCCTTTTCCTTCCAAGGGAAATATTCTCAAACCTTCGGTGTCGCTATGGGCTCTCCTCTCTCTCCTGTCCTTGCTAATCTTTACGTGGAATACATTGAGACTGTTCTTCTTCCTACCATCGATGTGTGCCCTTCACTCTGGCTCCGCTGTATGGATGACATCTTTGCTCTGCGGCCTCATGACTCCAGTCTCTTCCAACTTTTTCTTGAAGCTCTTAATAATCTTGCCCCTTCCATTGAGTTTAAAGCTGAATGGGAATCTAATTCCTTGCTTCATTTCCTTGATGTCCATGTCCACCGCTGAGATACAGGTTTTTCCTTTTCCGTTTACCGCAAACCTATGCACAGTGGCATGTACATTCACTACTTTTCCTATCATGCTTCCCTTGTCAAGGAAAGTGTTCTCATCTCCCTCTTTCTCCATGCCCTCTGCATCTGTGATCCTCAGTTCCTTCCAGCAGAAATTTCCACTCTTCATAATTCGCTTTCCCGTCTTGGCTACCCTTCCCATTTCATAGACTGCCCTCTCACGTGCTAAACGTAATTTCTTCTCTCCCAAACTCTCTACTCCTGGGAACTCTTCTGTCCTCTGCCTCCCCTACATTTCCAGTCTTTCTAATCTCAGCAATTCTCTCTGTTCCCCAGACATCAAGCTGACTTTCTGCCAGACTAACACTCTTCGCACTAATCTCGTTCATACCTCTCCTCCCTCTACAGATGTTCCTGGTGTCTACTCTATTTCTTGCTCCTCCTGTCCTCTTCAATACTTTAGAGAAACAGACCGATCTCTTTCTGACAGACTTAGGGAGCACAAAAATAGTGTTAGGCTTGCCGACACTAACAATGCTCTTTTCTGTCACGTCAGAGATCACAGCCATCCTATAGACTGGTCTTCTGCTAAAACTGTCTTCCCTACTTCCAACTTTAACAGTCGCTGTTTTGTTGAATCCTCTCTAATACACAACTTTCCTTGTATGAATCTTTGTCGTGGCTTCGTCTCTGTAGATGCCTTCCTCTCCCACTACACTGTAAAATACTCCAAACTTCAGAACACCCGTGACTTAACCTGATTCCTCGTTTTTTCCTTCTTCCCCTTTCCTCTTTCCTTTTTTCTCTTCTGGGTTGTCTTTCTTTCTTCTGTCTTGTGTTTCTGTTCCTTCATTATTTATTTCATTATTTCCCTTCCCCCCACCTCTGTGGGCAACAACAACAACAACAACAGCAGCAGCAGCAGCAGCAGCAGCAGCAGCAGCAGCAGCAGCAGCAGCAGCAGCAGCGCAGCAGCAGCAGCGCAGCAGCAGCAGCAGCAGCAGCAGCAGCGCAGCAGCAGCAGCAGCAGCAGCTGCAGCAGCAGCAGCAGCAGCAGCAGCAGCAGCAGCAGCAGCAGCAGCAGCAGCAGCAGCAGCAGCAGCAGCAGCAGCAGCAGCAGCAGCAGCAGCAGCAGCAGCAAGCAGCCATGCAGGCAAGCAGCAGCAGCAGGCAGCAGCAGCAGCACAGAGCAGCAGCAGCAGCAGCAGCAGCAGCAGCAGCAGCAGCGCAGCAGCAGCAGCACTGCAGCAGCAGCAGCAGCAGCAGCAGCCAGCAGCAGCAGCAGCAGCAGCAGCAGCAGCAGCAGCAGCAGCAGCAGCAGCAGCAGCAGCAGCAGCAGCAGCAGCAGCAGCAGCAGCAGCAGCAGCAGCAGCAGCAGCAGCAGCAGCAGCAGCAGCAGCAGCAGCAGCAGCAGCAGCAGCAGCAGCAGCAGCAGCAGCAGCAGCAGCAGCAGCAGCCAGCAGCAGCGCAGCGCAGCAGCAGCAGACCCAGCAGCAGCAGCAGCTGCAGCAGCAGCAGCAGCAGCAGCAGCAGCAGCAGCAGCAGCAGCAGCAGCAGCAGCAGCAGCGCAGCAGCAGCAGCACCCAGCAGCAGCAGCAGCAGCAGCAGCAGCAGCAGCAGCAGCAGCAGCAGCAGCAGCAGCAGCAGCAGCAGCAGCGCAGCAGCAGCAGCAGCAGCAGCAGCACGCAGCAGCGCAGCAGCATCATGTATTATATTATATTATATATATATATATATATATTATATATATTATATATAATATTATATATATAATTATATATATATATTTATTTTTTTTTCAACAAGTCGGCCGTCTCCCACCAAGGCAGGGTGGCCCGAACCCCAAAAGAAAATACTTTCATCATCATTTCAACACTTCACCACACTCGCATTTCACTGTTTTGCAGAGGTGCTCTTAGAACTACTTAAGTAACATATCCCTCCAAACTGCCAATATCCAAACCCCTCCTTTAAAGTGCAGGCATTGTACTTCCCATTTCCAGGACTCAAGTCCGACTATATGAAAATAACCGGTTTCCCTGAATCCCTTCACTAAATATTACCCTGCTCACACTCCAACAGATCGTCAGGTCCCAAGTACCATTCGTCTCCATTCACTCCTATCTAACACGCTCACGCACGCTTGCTGGAAGTCCAAGCCCCTTACCCACAAAACCTCCTTTACCCCCTCTCTCCAACCCTTTCGAGGACGACCCCTACCCGCCTTCCTTCCCCTATAGATTTATATGCTTTCCATGTCATTCTACTTTGATCCATTCTCTTTTAAATGACCAAACCACCTCAACAACCCCTCTTCTGCCCTCTGACTAATACTTTTATTACTCCACACCTTCTCCTAATTTCCACACTCCGAATTTTCTGCATAATATTTACACCACACATTGCCCTTAAACAGGACATCTCCACTGCTCCAACCGTTCTCCTCGCTGCTGCATTTACCACCCAAGCTTCACACCCATATAAGAGTGTTGGTACTACTATACTTTCATACATTCCCTTCTTTGCCTCCATAGATAACGTTTTTTGACTCCACATATACCTCAACGCACCACTCACCCTTTTTCCCTCATCAATTCTATGATTAACCTCATCCTTCATAAATCCATCCGCCGACACGTCAACTCCCAAGTATCTGAAAACATTCACTTCTTCCATACCCCTCCTCCCCAATTTGATATCCAATTTTTCTTTATCTAAATCATTTGACACCCTCATCACCTTACTCTTTTCTATGTTCACTTTCAACTTTCTACCTTTACACACATTCCCAAACTCATCCACTAACCTTTGCAATTTTTCTTTAGAATCTCCCATAAGCACAGTATATGTATGTATGTATGTATGTATGTATGTATATATATATTTGTATATATATATATATATATAATATATATATATATATATATATATATATATATATAATTATATTTATATATATATTATATATAAATAATATATATATAAAAATAATTATATATATATATATATATAATATATATATATATATATCTGTCCTGCTCTACTTCTCGTTAGTGTGACTTTGTAAATGGTCCAAGTCGGACCGAAACGTCGTTGTAAGCTCCTCTATGTGCAGGTTATTTGTTATGTAGAACATTTTAGGTAGCCTTTAGCTATGAATAAAACTAATTAATAATCTTGCTCAGTTGAAAATATAAATTTAATCCCATTTTTACACAGCTCCAACTTAATACAGCAATATGTTAACTTAAGTTTTTCCCAAGCTTTGAGAATAATTAGTGGTACAGACTAATAAACAAGAAAAAATAATGAAAGGCTATCTTATATAATGAAGTTTTAGCAAATCAGACAGCTGAAAACTAAGAACTTGCAGCATACCTGAGAATTTCTGGCAGTTCAGGAGCACGACATATATATTTATGAGAATATCCACATTTGGCAGCAAAACCTACAAACTTTACAGTGGGCGCATTCTTAGGTCGGACTCTCTGTGCAGTCTCGTATAACTAGTGGCAAAAATGGAGACACAACACATTAAAACTGAAGACACTGCATGTGAAACTGAACTATGTAATATTAGTATCCTGTAAAATATGTGAGCAATTACACATAATTTTGTTTTTTATTGACACATCGGCTGTTTCCCACCTAGGCAGGGTGGCCCGAAAAAGAAAAACTTTCATCATTCACTCCATCACTGCTTTGCCAGAGGCATGCTTATACTACAGTTATAAATAACAAAAAAGGCACAATACAGTTATAAAACTACAAACATTAACACCCCTCCTTCAGAGTGCTGGCACTGTAATTCCCATCTCCAGGAATCAAGTCTGGCCTGCTGGTTTCCCTGAATCCCTTCATAAATGTTACCTTGCTTACACTCCAACAGCATGTCAAATCCTAAAATCCTTTTGTCTACATTCACTCCTATCTAACATTTTCATGCATGCTTGCTGGAAGTACAAGCCTCTCCCACACAAAACCTCCTTTACCCCCTCCCTCCAACTTTTCCTAGGCTGATCGCTACCCCACCTTCCCTCCACTACAGATTTATACCGTCTCGAAGTCATTCTATTTCGTTCCATCCTCTCTACATGTCCAAACCATCTCAATAACCCATCCTCAGCCCTCTGGATAATAGTTTTGGTAATCTCACACCTACTCCTATTCTCCAAACTACGGATTCTCTGCATTATATTCACACCACACATTGCCCTCAGACATGACATCTCCACGTCATCCAGCCTTCTCCTTGTTGCAACATTCACAACCCATGCTTCACACCCATACATGAGCACTGATATAACTATACACTCATACATTTCCCTGTTTGCTTTCATGGATAAAGTTCTTTGTCTCCACAGACACCTTAGTGCACTACTCACCTTTTTCCCCTCGTCAATTCTATGATTCACCTCATATTTCATAGACCCATTTGCTGACACGTCCACTTCCAAATACCTGAACACATTCACCTCCTCCATACTCTCTCCCACCAATCTGATATCCAATCTTTCGTTACCTAATTTTTTTGTTATTCTCATCACCTTACTCTTTCCTATATTCACTTTTAACTTCCTTCTTTTACATATCCTACCAAATTCATCAACCAACCTCTGCAACTTCTCTTCAGAATCTCCTAAAAACACAGTGTCATCAGCGAGGAGCAACTGTGACAACTCCCACTTTGTGTTAGATTCTTTATCTTTTCACCCTAAGCATTCACTTCTCTTACAATTCCATCTATAAATATATTGAACAACCATGGTGACATCACACATCCCTGTCTAAGGTCTACTTTTACTGGGAAAAAAAATCTCCTTCTCGCCTACATACTCTAACCTGAGCCTCACAATCCTCATAAAAACTTTTCACCGCTTTCAGTAACCTACCTCCTATTCCATACATCTGCAGCATCTTCCACATTGCCCCCCTATCCACCCTATCATATGCCTTTTCCAAATCCATAACTGCCACAAAAACCTGTTTACTCTTATCTAAATACTGTTCACCTATATGTTTCACTGCAAACCATTGGTCTACACATCCCCTACCTTTCCTAATGCCTCCTTGTTCATCTGCTCTCCTGCTCTCCGTCTAACTCATAATTCTTTCAGTAATAACTTTGAATAATAACTCTCAATATTTATTCACTATAAATATACAGTACTAGTCAAAATATAGCACAGAATATATAATTTGTGATACAGCAGCACAACTGACCTTTCGACCTAATGTATAAGGTACAACAAGGTCATCCTCAGCATGTAGTATAAGAACTGGTGCCTGTACATGTGCAATGTGGTCATCACTACGAAAGTCGATACCTGATTTTGCCAGAGGATTCAGGAACAACCACTCGAACTTTGGCATTTTACGAAATATCTGAAAGTAGTGTTAAAAAGTAAATTTTTTTTTTTGCTATAAAGGTCACTGACCTGAAAGTATGATGCATCAAATTTATGAAACTGATTTTCCATGATTAACTTAAACAGACAAAAGCCATAAAAGACAAATGACCTATGCAGCGACCTTGGTTCAGCATATGGGGAGTCTACCAGACACACTATAGTAATGCTAAAAGGCAAATGCCCCATTCAGTGAACTTAATCTGTTGTACTGAGCTTTGTATGGAAAAATAGTCTGTTTATTGTATTGAAAATTTGTCACAGGGCTCCATTCATTTAAGGGTTTACTGTATTATACAATTTTCTATTTCTACCAGGAGGCCTGGTCACAGACCGGGCCGCGGGGGCGTTGACCCCCGGAACTCTCTCCAGGTATCACTGAATATGTATATTGAATGCATTATACACTCAATGTATGCACGGGAAGCAGTTCACAAATCATATTGAAGATTTTTATTAAGTGGAATTGAATATTTATGGCCTGACTGTGCTCTGTACAGCTGTCCTGGGCTTAGACCACATCTAAGGCATAAAACAAGGGACACTTATACACAGTACAATACTGAATACTGAAGCCTATATCTGTGACTGACAATAAAAATCCTCGATTCTACATATGCATGCATGTATACATTTTTTTTTTTAACATGTCAGCCGTTTCCAACTGAGGCAGGGTGACCCAAAAAGAAAGAAAACCCCAAAAAGAAAGAAAAAATTTTCATCATCATTCAACACTTTCACCATCACTCATACAGAATCACTGTCTTTGCAGAGTCACTCAGATATGACAGTTTAGACGTCCCTCCAAACTGCCAATATCCTAAATCCTTCCTTTAAAGTGCAGGCATTGTACTTCTCATTTCCAGGACTCAAGCCTGGCTAACCGGTTTCCCTGAATCCCTTCACAAAATATTATCCTGATCACACTCCAACAGATCGTCAGGTCCCAAAACCCATTTGTCTCCATTCATTCTTATCTAACACACTCACACAAGCTTGCTGGAAGTCCAAGCCCCTCACCCACAAAACCTCCTTTACCCCCTCCCTCTAGCCTTTTCAGGGACAACCCCTACCCTACCTTCCTTCCCCAATAGATTTATTTTACTTTATTTTTTATTAACACATCGGCCGTGTCCCACCAAAGCAGGGTGGCCCAAAAAAGAAAAACTTTCATCATTCACTTCATCACTGTCTTGCCGGAGGCATGACACTACAGTTATAAAATTGCAGCATTAACACCCCTCCTTCAGAGTGCTGGCACTGTACTTTCCGTCTCCAGAACTCAGGTCCAGCCTGCTGATTTCCCTGAATCCCTTCATGTTACCTTGCTTACACTCCAACAGTATGTCAAGTCCTAAAAACCATTTGTCTCCATTTGCTCCTGTCTAACATGCTCACACACGCTTGCTGGAAGTCCAAGCCCCTCGCACACAAAACCTCCTTTACCTCCTCCCTCCAACGTTTTTTAGGCTGACCCTTACCCCACCCTCCCTCCACTCCAGATTTGGATACTCTTGAAGTCATTCTATTTCGTTCCATCCTCTCTACATGTCCAAACCATCTCAATAACCCATCCTCAGCCCTCTGGATAACAGTTTTCGTAATCCCATACCTCCTCCTAATCTCCAAACAATGGATTCGCTGCATTATGTTCACACCACATATTGCCTTCAGACATGACATCTCCACTGGCTCCAGTCTTCTCTTTGTTGCAACATTCACAACCCATGCCTCGCACCCATACAAGAGCGTTGGTATAACTATACAGTGGACCCCCGGTTCGCGAAGTCATCGGTATCCGATAAATCCGGTATCCGAAACATTATATCGCAAAAAATTTGCCTCGGTTCCCGTTACAAAACCCGGTATGCGATACGATTCGTACGAGACGTGTCCATGTGTGGCCTGAACTGCCCCGTGTGTGCCACTGTTTACAAGCCAGCCAGTGTGCGTGCATCTAAGGATACATTCGGTACATTCCATATTATCTATATTATCACTCTTTGGTGCTTGTTTCTGCAAAATAAGTCACCATGGGCCCCAAGAAAGCTTCTAGTGCCAACCCATCAAGACCAAGGGTGCTAATGACTATTGAAATGAAGAAAGAGATAATTGCAAAGTATGAAAGTGGAGTGCGTGTGTCGGACCTGGCCAAGTTGTATAGTAAATCCCAATCAACCATCTCTACTATAGTGAGCAGGAAAACGGCAATCAAGGAAGCTGTTCTTGCAAAAGGTGCAACTGTGATTACAAAACAGCGATCGCAAGTGTTAGAAAATGTTGAGAGACTGTTATTGGTGTGGATAAATGAAAAACAGATAGTAGGAGATAGCATGTCTCAAGCGATCATTTGTGAAAAGGCTAGGCAGTTGCATGAGGATTTAATTAGAAAAATGCCTGCAACTAGTGGTGATGTGAGTGAATTTAAGGCCAGCAAAGGTTGGTTTGAAAGATTTAAGAATCGTAGTGGCATACATAGTATGATGAAAATCATCCTGACACAGCTACTGCAAGCCGTGTTGGCAACCTGTACACTGACAATGTTGTGAACCACTTTAGGAAAGTCATAAAGGAACGAGAGGTACAGGCCTCTATGGACAGATATGTTGTGCGACAGAAGTCCAGTGACTCTCAAGCTGGTCCTAGTGGCATTAAAAGAAGAAGGGAAGTAACCCCGGAAAAGGACTTGCTACCTCAAGTCCTAATGGAGGGGGGATTCTCCTTCTAAACAATAGGTTCAACACTCTCCCCTCCTCCCATCCCATCAATCATCACCAGATCTTCATTAAAGGTAAGTGTCATTTATTCTATTGTGATTATTCTATTGTTATTATAATTATTCTATTGCATTAAACTTAATATTTCATGTGGTAAAAGTTTTTTTTTTCATAGTTTTGGGTGTCTTGCACGGATTAATTTGATTTCCATTATTTCTTATGGGGAAAATTTATTTGCTTTCCGATAATTTTGCTTTACAATGAGCTCTCAGGAACGGATTAATAATGTGAACCGGGGGTCCACTGTACTCTCATAAATTCCCCTCTTCGCTTTCATGGATCAAGTTCTATGTCTCCACAGACTCCTCAGTGCACCACTCACCTTTTCCCCCTCGTCAATTCTATGATTCACCTCATCCTTCATAGACCCATCTGCTGATATGTCCACTCCCAAATATCTGAAGACATTCACCTCCTCCATACTCTCTCCCTCCAATCTCATATCTAATCTTCTATTGCCTAATTTTTTGTGATCCTCATCACCTTATTCTTTCCTATACTCACTTTTAACTTCCTTCTTTTACATACCCTACCAAACTCATCAACCAACTTTTGCAACTTCTCTTCAGAATCTCCCAAAAGCACAGTGTCATCAGCAAAGAGCCAATGTGACAACTCCCACTTTGTGTTAGATTCTTTATCTTTTAACCCCACACCTCTTGCCAACACCCGAGCATTCACTTCTCTACATATTTGCAACATCTGCCACACTGACCCCTTATCCACCCTATCATATGCCTTTTTCAAATCCATAAATGCCACAAAAACCTCTTTACCCTTATCCAAATACTGTTCACCTAAGTGTTTCACTGCAAATACTTGGTCTACACCCCCTTACCTTTCGTAAAGCCTCCTTGTTCATCTGATATCCTGCTCTCCCGCTTACTCATAATTCTATCAATAATAACTCTACCATATACTTTACCAGGTATACTCAACAGACTTATTCCCTTATAATTTTTACACTCTCTTTTGTCCCCTTTGCCTTTATACAAAGGAACTATGCATGCTCTCTGCCAATCCCTAGGTAACTCCACGCCTCCAAATTTCCACACTACGAATTCTCTGCATAATATTTGCACCAAACATTGCCCTTAGACAGGACATCTCCACTGCCTCCAGCTGCCTCCTCACTGCAGCATGTACAACCCAAGCTCACACCCACATAAGAGCATTGGTACCACTATACTCTCGTACATTCCTTTCTTTGCCTCCACAGATAATGTTCTTTGTTTGCACATATACCTCAATGCACCACTCACCTTTTTTTTCCTTCATCAATTATATGGTTTACCTCATCCCTCATAAACCCATCCGCTGACAAGTCAACTCTCAAATATCTGAAAACATTCACTTCTTCCATACTCCCTCTCTCCAATGTGTTATCCAACTTTTCTTTATCTAAATTGTCTGATACCCTCATCACCTTATTCTTATCTATATTCACTTTCAACTTTCTACCTTTACACACCCTCCCAAACTCGTCCACTAACCTTTGCAACTGTGTCAACTCCTATTTTGTATTTGATTCTTCATAATTTTATCCCACCCCTCTCCCCTACACCCTAGCATTTACTTCTTTTACAACTCCTATATAAATATGTTAAACAATCATGGTGACATTACACATCCTTGTCTAAGACCTACTTTTACCGGGAAGTAATCTCCCTCTCTCCTACACACCCTAACCTGAGCCTCACTATCCTCATAAAAACTCTTTACAGCATTTAGTAACTTACTACCTGTTCCATACACTTGCAACATCTGCCACATTGCTCCCCTATCCACTCTATCATATGTCTTTTCTAAATCCATAAACGCAAATAAAACTTCCCTACCTTTATCTAAATACTGTTCACATATAAGTTTCAATGTAAACACTTGATATACACATCCTCTACCCACTCAATAGCCTCCTTGCTCATCTGCAATCCTGCTCTCTGTCTTACCTCTAATTCTTTCAATAATAACCCTAGCATACACTTTACCTGGTATACTCAGTAAAGTTCTTCTTTCAACACACTGGTGGTATCCCACCAAAGTGGGGTGGCCCAAAAGGAAAAATGAAAGTTTCTCCTTTTACATTAATACAGTAGGGCCCCGCTTTATGGCGTTCCGCTAATACTGTCATTTCAAATTATGATCAAAGCTCGCTATACGGCTTCCACCACCTGACTTTCTAATACGGTCACCATGCCCCACCTGGTTTGTTTACATTCTCTGTGAGATCCGTAAGCACTAAGTCTCTCCATTATGTCTGGAAACTCCAAAATTTCAAGTGTTTTTAAAAGTTATTTCATATTTTATATATACTCTGATAATTATATGCACTTATGTATACCTGTACCTAAATAAACTTACATACTGTG